TAGACCCAGGGTCTCCAACCTTGGCAAGTTTAAGACTTGTGGACTTCATCTCCCAGAATTCCTCAGCTGGCTGAGGAATTCTGGGGATTGAAGTCCACAAGTCTTAAACTTGCCAAGGCTGGAGAGACCTGATTTAGACCATCACACAGCCATTGCTGAGAGGAGAGCAACAAGCAGCTTCATGACAACCCTTAGGCCAGGGGTCCCCAAACTTGGTAACTTTAAGACTTGTGGACTTCAACTCCCAGAATTCTCCAGCCAGCTTAGCAAATTCTGGGAGCTGAAGTCCACAAGTCTTAAAAGTTGCCAAGGTTGGAGACCTCTGTCTTAGACAATGGTGTAGGAGTGCTTTTCAAACCCAGAAATTTCAGGATGTGTGGACTTCCAACTCCCAGAAGTTGCCAACCAACATGCCTACTGGCTAGTGAATTCTGGGAATTGAAGTCCCACGTGTCTTAAATTTGCCAAATATGAAAAACACGGATATATTCCACCTCTGCCTCCATGCACCCAGCAGATGATGATGAAGTTGATTAGAAAACACTGTATGGATGCACAAGGAATGATCTTATGGCTCATTGGATTATTTCACTTCACTCAACATAGACATTAACATCTATAGATTATGCAAAAGACACCATTAACCAGCCCCAAAGACAAAAAGGATTAATCAAGCACCTCTCCACCAGTAATCAGCACCCAGATCAGCATAGATTAATCCCAAGATTAAATTCAAGCAAGCATTCAAGAAACTGCCATCAGTAAACAGCTCACCCAAAGAATCCCTAAGATCACCCCCACCATGCCAATCCTTACTAGCCCTGATGGTGTTCCCTAGTTAGGGTAATGAAAAGTCTGCAAGAAAAGAAGCAAGCTGAGAACCCCCAGAACCCCCTAGATCTCCATAAGTGTTCTCCCCTCAACATATGTAACCCAGCTTATGTGTTATCATCATCCAGACCCTTCCCACCCCAACACCCCCCCAAAAAAGAAAATGAACCAAGAAGATGGCTTCACATGTGGATAACAATGGCTGGATTCCCACGCCAGTTTACCCAAACTCCATTCTACCCTTGTGGCAAAACCACAGCTCCTGAATTGCAAATTAAAACTACCAGGACTGGTTTCACACAAGATGCCAGGCTAAAACGTGTGTTATTTGGGGAAGGGGGGACACAGCATGCTTGCAAGGCATGTCTGGGTTTGAAGGATGGTGGGAAGAGAAGGGGGGCCTTACCCTGGCGGGCAGTTATTATGCAGCTGAAAGTGGAAGCAAGCAGGATCCTTGGACTCTTATCCTTGAGAAGAGGTGGGAGGTGGACACCAGGAGATTTGCATTCGACCCCTCAGAAGCGGAATTTAGCATCAGACACACTTGGGCAGAGCAATTATTTTCCTTAACTAAACATAGGGCTGAATCCACACACACAGAGAGACTCTCAAAAAGCTGGCCTTAGGAGTTGCCCAGACTTATCCTTCTCCACCTCTTTCCAACCAAGGCGCATCACCTGAGCGAGGAGACCCAAATGCACACTTCCCCCCTCCCTCCCTCCTCCGAGGCCCCTCCAATTCTTAAAAAAATACAAAAAAAAGAGAGCCCCCGGCTTGGCCGTGCAAACACCTCCAGTTCCCAGCCAGCTCTCCCGTCTTGCCGATCGTGGGAAAAAAACAAGAGTTGAGTCCCGAGGCTACTTAAGCAGCGGGCGTCGGGTTGGAGACTTGGGGTGGGGGGGAGGAAAAGAAACCGAAATGGCAATATTTGGGGGTCGGGGAGGGGATTTGGGGGGATCATGTGAACGGAGTGAAAGGGATCGAAGCGAAGGAAGGGAGGAAAGAAAGGAAGGGAGGGAGCGCACGGAGGTCGGGAGAAACGTGCCCGGGGGAGAGCAGGGATCTCTTCGGGGCTCGTTGAGCCCGCGAGACGCTCCCACTCGCGTCTTTTCCTCCCTCCCCTCCACGTCCCGGATCGGAGTTTCCACGTGGAGAAGAGACGGGCACGCATCTCTCCAAAGTTAAGAACCGCGAGGCTCCCAACGGGTGGAACAGACTCCCACAACTTCCAGAAAAACTATTCCCGCAGCCCCGAGCCTTTAAAATAATAAAAAAAGAAGAAGCAGCAGAACTTTAACCCCGAGTCCTCCCAACTTGTACCCCGGGCTTTCCGCGAACCTACCTTCCGCGGCAACGTGCGCTCCTGCCCGCCACGAGGTTCGTCCTTTTTTGCGCTCCTTCAACGATCGCTTCTGCGCGGCTCTCTGGCTTCAGCGCTTTCTGATTCACTCCGGGGCGGTGCGGAGCAGCTGGTGGGGAGGAGAGAAAAAGGCGGAGATTCCCCGCCCCCTGGCCCGAACTCGCCGCCCCCAAACGCGTCACGCGCCATATAAGGAGTTCCAGGCAGCGTGGGAATTTCAGAGCAAGCAGGAAAAAGCGGCCTTTTCCGGGGGCAGGCGGTAGGGGGCGTTGTGGATTCCTCCCCCCCGCCCCGAGGAATGTCCCGGGTTTTATAATGCAGGGAGTTTGAATTAAGTGGCGATTTGTGAACGAGGTGTGATGAAGCAGAGTACTTGGCATTCTTTCTTTAATCTTTTGCAGATGCAAATTCTGCCTTAACCGTGACCTCCCCTGATTTACTGATAAAAGAACCGTCCTTCCTTTATTTAGTTTGCATTTATTTATTTCCCAAAAGTTCGGTTTTGGTTTTGGTTCTGTACTCCGGTAGTCCTTTCACCATGTTTACAGATGGTCCCGCCTTCGGGTGAAAAAAATAAAGTCTTTCAAAAATATCACACATTAACCGTTTTTTAAACCTTTAGATTATTTATTTATTTACCAAATTTCGAGGCTGCCCGGTTCGCTCGGAGTGATTTTTGTATGCGGTTACATACTTTTGTAAAGTTTTTTTTTTCTTCCCTCTCTTGGGCTCTGGAAGTTTCTTTTGCCAAGCAAAGTTATAAGCATAAAACCAGTTTTTTCTTTATGAACTTCTTTCAGATTTGTCCCCTTTTCAGCTTTGCTCTTTATTTTTTTTTCCAAGAAAAACTGTTTGCTCTAGTTAAATCTTTGTTCTGCAAGGTTTTAATTTATATTTATCTTTATTCCACGTTTTTCTTAAAAAACTCAAAGCAGCAGACATATCTAATATTCCTTCCTTCTCCTATTTTCCTCACAACAATAACAACCCTGTGAGGTGGG